GCCGGGCATTTTTTCCGGCTCGCGAAACGAGCGGGTGCTCGCGCGTAACACGCTCGTGCGTTTCAATTACCGCGCGGCTTGTCGCGTCGCCTCGTCTCGCCTCGCATCGTCTCGCGTTGCGACGAAATTACGGGGCCGTGGCGGACCAGACGCGAGCCGCCGAATCGCGCGTTGAAACCTCGTTGATTCCGATGCGCGGCGGCTGCGATCTTTCAGCCGCGTTCGCGAGAAATAAAAACGGAATTTCCGCGCGATCGTCGAGAGCGTCGGCCCGTTCGAAATCGCGCGAGTCGTTCGGGGTCGTCCGAAACCGGCGTCTGCGAAAGTACTTGGCTTCTCGCTCGTTCAAGCGCACCGTTTTCGCGGTGCGAACGCCGACGAACGTTGTCGGGACTTGTTTGAAAAACGGGACAACAACGGTGGGATGGTTCGCGGACTCGATCGCGGAAAGTAAGTCGAAGCGGACCGGCAGCTGTTCGACGAACCCGCGATTTCTTTTCGAGGCGAACGGCCGAAAGCGCGCGCGGTTGGATTCCAAGAGCACGGAGCATCGAAAGAGCGTCGCGTCGTTCGAATTTATTTTCGATCGTTTTCCATCGCTTTCGTCGAGTACATATTCTCTGATCGCGTATCACCGAAATCTGCGAAAAGGCGCGCGATGCTAAAACGCGAGTTTGCCGTTTCATTAAAATCTAGCCTTCGATCTCGATCGTCCGGACGATTATTATTTGCTCCGAGGAGAGCGAAACGTTCGCGTTGCCACGGTTGAATCGTTCGAAAAGGAGCAGCTGCCGGTCCGACGATCGGACGACGCGTTCTGTAAAGGGAGGAAAAGCGTTCGTGTGAAGTCGGTCGTGCGAAAGTCCCGTGGTAGCACCGGGTGAGAGAGCGGGCAGTGTGCGAGGCGATTACAAATCGATTATTAATNAACCAACGGCGTCGTACGATTGTCAATTAGTAATTGAGAGAGAGAGAGAGAGAGAGAGAGAGAGAGAGAGAGAGAGAAGCGATCTCGTCGACGGCCAAGTCAGCGGATTAAAAAGCATCCGAAGCCCGCGAGGGTCGAAAAAGGGCGGCCTCTAATTTGAAATCTCTGTTAATCCTTCCGGTAATTAAAAAGCTGCAGCGGCTGACCATCGTGGAAAGGGATCGCGTTCTCGTGCTTGCGCTTTCTCCCTCTCTCTCTCTCTCTCTCTCACTCACACCTTTGAACCCGTTCAACATCTCGTTTAGGATAACACGGAGAACTTGTTAGTACCCTGAAGTGCTCGATTCTAGTCTCGATGCTCTCTTTTTTCAGAGGAATATACGACGCGGTTGCTCTGCTCGAATTTTCAGTTCTATTTATTTTGCGAAAGAAGATTTTGATTTTGCGATTTTTCATGCTCGATACCTCTTAATTTATGACCGAGGATTTCCTTCGGTATCCAGATTTTTTAAACAGCAACAGCAATTTCGATCGCGAACCAACAAATAAATCGGAACAATGTAATTTAACCCTCGGATACGGAATTATTTTGGCAACGATGGAAACATATCTTTTAAGATAACTCTTGCATCGGTCCTCGCGTTTGACGTAGCACGGTCGTTCGATGTCGGGTTCAACATCGTATCGACGACCCGAATACACTAACGTGTACTCGATTCCGACTTATATCGTCGGACTCTTTTCGGATCCCCCGATACAGGAGATCCCGCGACAGTCGACGTTTCGATGATCTGGAAATATTCTTGAAAATTCCTGTAAACGCTGCAAATTCCTGTAAACGCTGCAAATTCCTGTAAATTCCGTAAACGTCGAAACTCCTGCGAATCGAATTCACGACCGCGCTTCGGATCGTAATTACGATTTCTCCCAGAAGCTGCGGGGAGCGGTCGAGTTCTTCGTGAAAACATAGGTGGCATGTACTCGCGGTCGGCGTCCAAGTTCATTCGTCTCGCTTTGCCGAATTAGCCGGGCATTTTTTCCGGCTCGCGAAACGAGCGGGTGCTCGCGCGTAACACGCTCGTGCGTTTCAATTACCGCGCGGCTTGTCGCGTCGCCTCGTCTCGCCTCGCATCGTCTCGCGTTGCGACGAAATTACGGGGCCGTGGCGGACCAGACGCGAGCCGCCGAATCGCGCGTTGAAACCTCGTTGATTCCGATGCGCGGCGGCTGCGATCTTTCAGCCGCGTTCGCGAGAAATAAAAACGGAATTTCCGCGCGATCGTCGAGAGCGTCGGCCCGTTCGAAATCGCGCGAGTCGTTCGGGGTCGTCCGAAACCGGCGTCTGCGAAAGTACTTGGCTTCTCGCTCGTTCAAGCGCACCGTTTTCGCGGTGCGAACGCCGACGAACGTTGTCGGGACTTGTTTGAAAAACGGGACAACAACGGTGGGATGGTTCGCGGACTCGATCGCGGAAAGTAAGTCGAAGCGGACCGGCAGCTGTTCGACGAACCCGCGATTTCTTTTCGAGGCGAACGGCCGAAAGCGCGCGCGGTTGGATTCCAAGAGCACGGAGCATCGAAAGAGCGTCGCGTCGTTCGAATTTATTTTCGATCGTTTTCCATCGCTTTCGTCGAGTACATATTCTCTGATCGCGTATCACCGAAATCTGCGAAAAGGCGCGCGATGCTAAAACGCGAGTTTGCCGTTTCATTAAAATCTAGCCTTCGATCTCGATCGTCCGGACGATTATTATTTGCTCCGAGGAGAGCGAAACGTTCGCGTTGCCACGGTTGAATCGTTCGAAAAGGAGCAGCTGCCGGTCCGACGATCGGACGACGCGTTCTGTAAAGGGAGGAAAAGCGTTCGTGTGAAGTCGGTCGTGCGAAAGTCCCGTGGTAGCACCGGGTGAGAGAGCGGGCAGTGTGCGAGGCGATTACAAATCGATTATTAATTTCGGCAGTCGTCCTCGGGAACGAATCCTGGTGCGCGCGACTATTCCTTACCTGTTTCGGACAGACCGGGGATCGAAATTCGACTGGGCCTCGTCAGTGTCAGTGTCAGTGTCAGTGTCGACAGCAGCATCCGGCCGCCGCCGGGCTCTCGGCTCGCTGGCGGGGCCCGTTCGCATATCGCGCATTCGTTTCGCATCATTGTTCTGTCATTGCCCTCTCGCTCTCTCTCTCTCTATTTCGACAATCGTCTCTGTCATTCTATTCGTCTCGCCACTCTCGGTCCCGGTTATGCGACGATCGTTCGCTATCGATCTCTCTCTCTCTCTCTCTTTCTCTACGATCTATCGCCGAGAAACTCACTGTCCCGGTCTCTCTCGCGCCCAGGAGAACTCTATACGGGACAACAAGAGACTCCCGTCAGACACTTTATCCGTTTCATCGCGGTCTTTGGCTGTGCGCGATCTCGTCTTGCCGAATCGCGAGTCACGCCGGTTACAACGTATTATCGTGACATTCGTCCAGCGTGAAACGTCGCCTCAGGTTCGACCAGCTCTGTCGTTTCTTTTTTCTCTCTCTGTCTCTCTCTCTTTGTCTCCGGTCGTTCGCTCTCTTTCTTTGCTCTTTTCGTTTTCGTCTCTCTGCGATCATCGTCCTCGAGATTTTCGTCGTTCCAGGAATATCTACGTTTATATTTGTTCTGTTTTCTCGGTGTTTCACTCGATTTGGTTTATTTTTTTTTCTCACGAGCGCGTCCACCCCTTCAACTTCGGCGATTTTTTCGTCGGCGCGGCGCGCGCCACCCACGCGGACGCGTTCGCCGCGACCGGCGACCGGCGACCGGCGACCGGCGACCGCGCAACAAATTTCGTCGTTCCGTCGTTTTACCGTTTCATCGAAGCTAGCGCGCGCCGGTCGATCGGCGGGCGTCCGCGCCGGTGCCGCGGCTACGCGCCTCGGCTCTGCGGCCGCTTCGCGACGTCGCGACGTCGCGACGCTGGCAATGACGATGGCGACGAGTCCCTTTCTCGACCGAATCGTGGCGTCTCGTTGCGCCGAATATTTCCAAATTGCTTTCGAGCGAAATTTTGGTCCGAACGGATGCAATTTTGCTCGGCAACGCGCGCGCGCGATCGAATATTCCCTTTTATCGAATCTGTCAGCGCAGTTTCCGGCACGCCATTGCCACGATCCGCCGCGCCGCTTCGCGATCAATTCTGACGGAGCCATTTAGCCGCCGATGTAACAAACTCGTCTCGACGCGCGCGGAGAATCTCGTTACGGCCTGCGACCGGCTGAAATATTCGACGAAACTCGAGTTCGCACCCCGCCGCGGTTAACGGGGCATTTTTATGCGGCGAAGCTTCGCGAATCGTCGGAATTCGAATTTCGATCCGGCGAAATCGACCCGTGTTCCGCGAGCGATCGTTTTCCAAGGGAACGAATCGTCCGAAACTTCTATGAAACTACTTTTTATCGATCGCTCGACCGTTCGCGGACGCTGCTCGAGTTTCCGAGGGGGAAAAATTGCGCGCGGAGGATCTCCGAAGGACCGCGCGGCTCCGTCAAAATTCGAAGAAGAAAAACGAGAGCTCGCTCTCGCGGCAGCGATTCGCGTGTCGCTCGCGCGAATCCACCTCGAGGATCGAGCCTCGTCCTCGAGCCCGCAGAACCGACCTACGCTTAAACCTAGACGCTCGACGCGCGCTCCCCGACGTCCGGAACCCGGTCGAGGATCGCCGCAACCGATCGAACGGCGATCGACCGGACGACGAAGGTGACGTCGAGGAGCGCGATCGAGCGGCACGCGCTTACATCTAGGAAAGACCAAAGACGACCAGCCGCGACCAAGTTCCGAGAGCAACCGTTTCGAATTTCGATTGCAGCATAGGAAACCGAAAGAAAAGGGCACCGGAGGATGGAATAGAATAATCGGAGCGTCGGGGGCCGGGCTGGTCGCCTGTTGATCGAGCGGGAGGCTCGCGCGCGAGCGCGATAAGCTCGCGTGCGGCTCTCGCGTGTTCCTGTAAAGAAGTACATTGTGTATAAATGAATTAATGGCGATGTATACATATATATATGTATGTATATATATATATAAGTATAAGAATGTTCATGCACACCTCAATCTTTCTGCCCTCAACCACGGTGCCGTGTAGCCTCTCACGTGCCCGGTCCGCGTCAGCACTATTTGCGAATGTTACAAAACCGAATCCCTGCATGCAAGGACAGACAAAACAACATGCATTAAACTCAACTTACAGACTGCCAGCGCTCGGCAAACGACTGGCCGACCCGACATTTCGCGCTCCCCTTCCCCGAATTTCCAAACGTTCCCCGTTTCGAACGACGGGAACCAACGGATCCTGCCGATGGCACGGGTTCGGCGGGAAAACTGGGACCGTCGCGGTCGCGTCGAGGGGTGCGGCACGCGCGCGTCGTCGACACCGACGCGTTCCCGTTCGACGTTCGACGTTCGGCGACCGAACGCGCTTTCTTCCCGGACTGTACGCGCTCCCCGACCCTTCTCCGAGTTTTCGCCCTCCGCCCTTCGCGCTCTCGGCCTTTTCAACCCTTCCACCGGCCTTTCGAGCCCCGAGGCAGTTACCCCGTTTATCCCTCGGACGCGCAACGGCCGTCTGGCCGCTAATTAATTCTCGAGATCGCGTCTCGAGACGCGACGAAACTAACCCCTTCGACGTCCGGCGTCGCGAAATTTCTCGAGACTTCGCGAAACGACTTTTCGAGAAGAAAGAATGGACGCGGCTTTCGCCGCGTTCTCCGGTTCGCGGCGAACGTAACGAAGTTGGGGTGGCGTTCGAATGGGAGACAGAGACAGGGGAGGAAGAAGCGACGCGCCCGAGCACGATTTACCGCTGCGAAATGTCGGTTTTGCCAGCAGCCTTGCGAGCGCGTCATACTGCTTACGGAGACGCACCAAACAACGTGCAACAAATAAGTAAATATAAAATCATGGTAAGAAATCATGGTCATGGTCACATTAATCATCTCATTATCATATCATATCATATCGTGTCATGTCATCATGGTCATCGTCATATCATTAAAGACTCTTGCTTGTACCGAGAGGTGCGTGTACGAGAAAAAGAAAATGAAAGTATGAAAAGAGGGTTAGTAGAGTGGCGGATGGAAAGGGAACGGCTGGGAATTCTGTGTAGAACGTTTGCGGGTGTGCGAGTGTGAGTGTGCGCGCGCGTGTTTCGAACCCGGAGCAACGGCTCGAGAGAGAACGGTCGCCGAACCGTCGAAGACGTTTCGAGTTTCGGCGAGAACGGCGGCTGTTCCGACGGAAACGAAGCTCTCGCGTTCCCGAAAGGAACCGCGCGTATCGACGGCGTTCTCGTCGAATTTTCGGCCGAACGCCGTGCTTCTTCGACGCACGGATCGATCGGAGGTTCGCGAAGATGGACGCGCGGCGGCGGGGAGCCGTTCGAGCGATCGAGTTCCTCGACTCCCGCTGCCCCGTCGCGACGACGGTCCGACCGCCGACGGCCGTTGGTCCGTTCGGCTGTCGGGGACGCGGCGAAATCGTATTAAAGCCAAATCGAATCGGCATCCTGGAAGAACGAAAGGGGAGAGTGCAAAGTTGTCGCGGAGACCCGACCCGATCCGGCGCCCGAGGACCCTGTTTCCCCATTTAACGGCGCCGTAATTCGTTCGATTGGCTGAAGCAAGGACGGAGATGCGGTACCTAATCCAGACCGGCGCGGCGGATGTAATGGAATCGACGCGACGAGCCGATCGAATATCGCGCCGTCGAGAACTGGCTTGGAATAATCGAGCTACGATTTCTCCGAGTTTCGTTGATTAATCGGGGCCCGGTCGATCGAGGGTCGCGACAGAGGTTGGAAGGAGTCGAGAACACCTTTCGAGCAATTCACGCTTCGGCTGCCCTCGCAGATCGATTCGAGACGGCGCGGCGCGCGACTCGCGACGCGTCGGGAGGATCTCCGACGCGGAGGTTCGTAGATTTTTCGAAGAGTCGTTGGACGAGTTCGAAAAGTACGATTTCAACTCCTAGCGATCGTTCGGAACGTTCGGAAACTATTTTGAAACGGATTCGGCGAAGAAGATTTTGGTTGCTCCGGAGATCTTTTATCACCGTTAACCGGGGGACGCGAAATTTCCAGCTGGTTCTCGCGCGCGTGGGTGAACAGCACGCATCCGTCGACTCGCCTGGGAAATCAGCCTAACGCGGACAAGCTTCGCCGTCGATACGGGGTGCGGCGGGGGAGCAAAGGGTCGATCGATTGGCGGATATCGGAAGACGCGTCGGGCTATACGCGTAAATTCGAACCACAGCCGTTCCCGATTTCGAGGAAAACACGCGCCTCCGGCTCGCGAAACTTCGGCGAAGATTCGACGACGATTGGCAACAAGTAGCGTCGGTTTGCGACCGAACGAACGATGTTTTTGCGCGTACTCGCCACGGCAATTTTCCTCGTCGTTGGTCCCGAGCCGACGGTTTTCGGCGGCGAGAGGGAAGAAGTGGAGCGAAGCGGAGCGGAGCGGAGAGGAGAGGAGAGGAGAGGAGAGAAGAGAGAAGTGGCGCGGCGCGGGCTCGCACGCGACGGCAGATCGCGATCTCGCAGAAAACCTCTTTAAAGGCTTATCGGCTTTCGGAAAATTGAGGTTGGCGTGGCGCGGGTCACGCCAACCTTCTTTCTCCTCTTTCAGGAAATTAATCCAACGACGCGAGCCGAGCCGAGCCGAGCCGAGCCGAGCCATCGAGCGTCTTGAGCGAATCTCTGAGCGCGCGCGACACGGAGCGCGAAACACGGCTCGCGTTAATTCTGTTGAACGAAATCGCGGTCACGCCTTGCCGTTTCCCTTTCCATTCGCTTCAACGCGACCACGCGGATTAGGTTTCCGCGGGATCCGTCGTGGGTGGAACTATAATTACCGTGGCTCGAAAAATCGGATCGCGCCTTCGATCCGGCCCCGCTCGCCGTTTCACCGCTCGTCCGGCAATTTCTTGAAACGCGAGATAAATCTCTGTCGAGCGATACGCTCGAAGACGACAAAGAAAATCTTAGGTTCCGGAATTTTCGGAAGAAACTCCGAGGAGAAGGGCTCGCCGAAGAAGCTCGATTATCAGCGTTCCGTCGACGGAATTTCGAAGAACGGTGGTCGGGGGAGCGAAAAACCCGTTGCCGGATAAGCTCCGACGCGGCGAGCCCCGGCGATGAATCGGCTCGGATAGGCCAGACCCTGCTCCGAATCGCGAGCTTATCGGGCGATCCATCTTGCCGTGGTGTAATCGAAAGGCCGGCTTCCGGTCGACGACGCGAGACGAGCGAAACAATCGTGCCCGCCGTCTCGCGTCGCTCGGATCCTTCCAGCTCCAGCTTCTTCGTTAAGAAGAGAATCAACCGAGGAACGGGGTGCGCGACGCTTCGAAAACGTGCTGCCGAAATATCGCGCTCGGATTCGCGAAAATAACGAAGCCGTGGAACACGGTTTAGTTGGACGCGGCGGAGTCGAAAAAGTTGGAATTCGAAACCTCGATGTCTCGATTAAATAGGAATCCGGAGGCTGGAAGATCGCGCGCCGCGACGTCGATGCGACAGCTTCGCGGAGACCGTTCGTAAAATTGCTTCGGTAGCTGTTGGACGAGAATTTCTGCTCGGACGATCGGTCTGCCGGCAGCCTGGTGGCGGATCGCAAGTATAGGCGCGTCGAGGCTTTTCCCGATGAAGTCGCCGCCCCCGCGGAATAACGAGATTTTACGAGCCGCTTAGCCGGCGTTAATCGTTGCCTCGAGAACTCGGGGACTCGGGCCCGTTTAACGGGGGACACGCCGGTTTCCGCTGGGATCGCGCTCGATTAAACGGGACGACGACGACGACGACGACGACGACCCGACTCGCGATCGGTGGAACACGAACGGAAATTGGACCGTACGAAGCGGAAGCGAGGCGAATCCGTCGTCCCGACGAAGCTTTCCGTCGCGGTAGCTAAGATTCAGCGGAGCGGGTTCCGGGGCCTGGAAAGAAGCCGCTGCGATCGAGGTGCGGACCGTCGAGACATCGACCGACGGTTCGCTTCTTCCTCTTCCGGAGAAAAACGAACGAAGATTCGAAGGGAAGAGTAAGAGAATCAACGACGACGCGTTGAGAAGCTTCGAGCGTTTGAAGAGCAACGTCGTCGCTTTCCGCGTAGCCTCTGTGTATTTACGTCGCGAGATCGCGCCGTTCCAACGATTGCTCGTCGACGCTAACGGAATTGATTCGGGATTGCACGCGGTTGCAGGAGCCCGATCGCGCGAGGGTCGACGGAAAGAGGGGCGGAGGACGGGTCGGAAAAATGCAGTTGCCGATCTTATCCGCGATCGACGTTCCGGTATCCGTTCGGATCGTAGGTGAGACGTTGAGGGAGGCGCGACGATACGATCGCGGAACGACTAATTAACCCGCCAAGCGTGATAAATCGCTGCAACGGACGCGAAGAGGAAGCGTTGGGAACTTTGATCGCTCGTTAACAAACGATCTTGACTTTGCTCGAGGATGTCGCCGAGATCGAGGACCGAAGAAGGCGAGTCGAGCTTTCCGTCGAAACTATGAAACGCGGTCGAATTTCGCGTCGTACACCGTGCGGCATATATCTTTATACGAGTCGTGGATTTTGGAATTTTTTGAGAATTCGCATGCTTCGACGAATGCGAATACGACGGATATCGATGTTCGCCACGGTGCGCCGATTCTCTGGAAGGAGCCGACCAACGAGAACCTTTCGCAGTTGGCGCGACCGTCGAAGTCGAAGTCGAAGGAACCCCGGCCCCCGTAGGTTTAACGGTGACACGTGTTCGTGCCTGTCCGTCCGTTCGTCCGTCCGTCCGTCTGTACGTGTGAATGTACATCTGTGGGGGTGCGCGAGGTAACGGTGATCAACGTCGCGTGTGGCGTGTAACAATAATCGACCAATTACTTAACAGCTAGGTGCAAGAACGTGGCAAGGCAGAGTATAGAGGAAAGAAAAGGTGTTAACACTACGTCGACCGGGTGGGGTGATGCGAGCGTGTGCCGCGCGTGTTCCACAGGAGACAGCTATCCAACGAACAACCAAGGCAAACGATCGATCGATCGATCTCGACCGCCGCGGGTCGATGTGCGTGAAGTTCTCGATAACGATATCGCATTGGGGAGGATCGGTGTGGGAGACCGTTTAAGGAAGGCGTGGGAGAGACCTCGGTATG